TATAGAGCCACCAGAGCATGCACAGCATTTTACAACATGGGGAAAAAGTACAATTACAATACAATACCATACAAAAGGATTAGAAGGACCCTGTTTGTAAGAGCTTACAATCTACAAGGAGGGACAAGTGATACAGGAGGTAATGCCTTCTAAAGAATAACTTTTAACATTTACATTCATTTGCTATATAAAGCCATATTGTGTACTGTGCAACTAAACCACTCCGTCAACTTTGTAATAGAAAAGAAAAACTAAAAACAGAATTTATAAAGGGAGCTTCCAATACTTTGGCTGCCCTGGTTAGCAGGCAGGAGTCTGCTGTGCCCTCTTCCCTCAGGGTATTGAAAGGTGAAATGATGAATGAATGAAGGAAGCTTGTCTAAATGTTATGTAATTGTTGCTCTACTTATTGAGGAAGCATTCCCACAACAATTACAGTACAGAACAATTGTGCAATTGGTGAAACAAAGAGTTCACACATAACATGGTGATTTCAAACATACACCATATATATAAAAGTATCCTTGGCTTGTTTATCTATGACACAGGCATATTCATTGGTTCAAAGATTATCAAGTCTAGCCCTCATAAAGATCACCCACCTTGTACCCCCCACAGGTCAGACCTGCATTCCTCTTTGCCAGTACACACTTCATTCGCAGGAAAAAGGAGCGCTCAATCTCATATTCTGTAAGGCAGGACAAACAGTGTTACTTGTATGTTACATTCCTTTAAATTCATGACTTAGCACTGATTCTTCACATAGACAGACAGCAATAGGGGACTATGATTTACCTTGGACAAAGTGTGAATGGTAGGGCTGATGAGCTGTAAGCACTGCAGTCATTTCATCATGATCAGCAGGGTGAATGTATTCATAGATGCTATTTCCAGTCAATTCTACCTGCAAAAGGAGAAACATACTGTTTATCTTTATAGTCTGTCAATATAGTTTATTTTGCAGCTATGCAAAATAACTTTTATATTGTACTATACAAAGACCAATCTATTGAAAATAACAGCAGTCAATCTTAGGATCGCCCTTTTTTTTCCAAATGATCATGGTTTTCCCATTATAAGTTAGTTTTGAACTAACTTGCTGATAATTATCCCACTTATGATGAACTACTACGACTCAAACTACTTCATCACCTTGTCATTATACACGCAAATATCAATTGGTTGGGATGGATCATTTGGTTACACAATTATCACATCTGCAGGTTTGTATCATAATTTAGCCATTGTTACTGATCCCATGTGAAGATGGCCATACAAAGAACAAGATAGTTTCATGATATGCAAAGGTAAGGAATAATTCAGCATCTAAGAGTCTGGTTTATCAAAATCGGGCAAAAGAAAAAATGAGCAAACTAATTTTACTCATGCCTCCAATGAACAATCTTACTTTGTTTTCATTTTGTTTCATAGAATGAAAGGTAAAACCTGAATGTTTGCTGTTGGTAACAGCTTCAATTTCATGTTCATTTTTTCTTTGTATCTCAGGAATCAGCCCCTATGGAAAGTTAACAAATGTTTTGGCAGACCTTTGGAGTACATCACTGCAAAGGATTTGGTGAATTTACGGGGGGTTTTTCTATCTATGCTGATAAAACAAGGATGAGAAGTGATAACCCAAATCTCCCTGTTAGCATTGCACGGGCATGAGGGAAACAATAATATTCAGCCAAAACATTGTCATCTGAGGTTCTCTTCAGTGGTCTGCTGATACCTATAGACATGGGATTTGTTGTCCAGACCCAAATCAGCAATCATCTCATGTTCATGGGTACTAGAAATCAAGCAGAGTGAAAAACAAGGCAGCATACAGATACCTTTTCTTCTGTTAAAATTAAAAATAGAGAGAACGACAGACAGATAAACTGAGAAAACTAAAGGAAAGCTTTCCATATCTCCCACTGGTTCTAGAAAAGTCCACAAATCACATTTTTTTTTAGTGCTTATCTGCAAAGAACAGTAGCTACAGAATACATCCCCTGATTAACAGTTACAAGTGTGAGTAATTGTACATGAGCAAACAGCCACAATCACCTACCTGTGATAAGCCCAGGTGGACTGAAGCAGTTTCAGAAATATACATGATTTTCCCATCAGGAGCCACCACAAAGATGAAGCCATCTAAGGTCTAAGTAGGAGAGAAGAAAATAAACTAATGAGCAAATTCATATTCCCCTACCAGAATACCCAAAGTGCAGCAATTTAAATACAATTTACATTTCAAGAGCGCTTGGGTGGTCAGATGTCCCTTCACCTCTGTTTTAAACATCTCAATGTTGAATCAAACATGGTGTTAGGCAAGCTAGTGCTATATGGGAAATGAGTTTAATCTTCCATTGTTTAACATATCAAAAGCTTATCACCTGTAAACACTGGGAAGATATACGACTCTCAGCAGGGAAAGTGGCTTTAAGCTACAACAAGGCAGAAATCGACTTTACAGACAATTCTGCCTCTCACAATGTTGGTATCTGATAACAGTTTATACAAGTAACAACAGGGGATTAGATATGTATTTTCCTAAAAACAACACTCATTCTTTCTATTACAGTCTTATTTCCTAGACTTTTTATTCACACCGGTGACAATACCACAAGAAGAATGCCTTATGATTCTATGGAAGCATGTTTTAACATGAAACATTTTATATACAAAAAAGTATTTAATATTTAGAGAATTGAACTTTCAGTCAGCATTATCACATCAAAGATAAGTAAAAAGGAACATTCAGCTTTGTTCATTCACTTACTGTATAGCTATAATTAAATTTCAGCAAGCTCACCACATTAAAGTAGCATAATAATATCATTTTTAAAACTAAGACCTTTAAATCATTAGTGCATCGATCTTTATTAGATGCTGGTATGTCAACTTATGAACTGCCTTTCTTTCCTTCTCTGCCCGGTACTCCATCTCTGATAGCTTCTTTCCTCCAAGTCTCAATGCTCCAAATGGCTTCAGCACTCTCATGCCTCTTGCTTCTTTCTCCATCATATAAAATACATAACATATGACCAATTTGTGTAATTTCCACTGGATGTTTTACTGGAATTCCAGCGTCATGATCTTACAACCAGAGCAATGAGCAATGTGATTCTAAGCCCCCACGGGCAGGGCCCTCCTTAACATCTTGTCTTGAATTGTATTGTAATTGTAATGTTTTCCTTACATTGTAAAGCGCTGCACAAACTGTTGGTGCTATATAAATTATGTATAATAATAATAATAATAATAATGTGCAGTAATCAATATCAACCAATCAGGAATTATCTTTTATTGTTTATATTTATCGAATCTGATGAAAGCTGACTGCAGATTTTCTGCCATGGGTTACTGTTGAAATATCTTGTTAAACAAGCCTGTAGAGTAAAAGGCTACATACCAACATAAAAATGATAATATGGGAGCTGTTTTCATTACTTGCTAAGTGACTAAAACTAATGCATGTGAACGTTTATAAATTACACCAAGTTATAATTAAAAGTTCACTGAAAGGTCTGCATTCTTTAATGATTAATCGGATATGGTAGTTTTCCCTAAATTTAGTACCTGTAAAAGATGAGCTCCCAACTCTCGACCAACATTATCCAAGGAACTTGGTCTGCTAGAATGGCCCCAGGCTTCTCCAAGTCCTGTGTGCATAAACAAACATAACACATGGTAAGAGGGCTGGATCTGCACTCCAGAATCTTAGAGGTCATCTGCTATATTATCTCACTGCAAACAGGAACATTTCATTCCTAGCTCAATTTCTCTAAAGTGAATCATATCTTGACAGCTATACACCGATGTAACAGTAGTAAGTGCATATGCAAGAATAAAATCATAGCTCAAAGTTGAGCTACTACATGAGATACAAGCACTTATCCTCATAAAGGATTATTCATCTAGATATGCTAAATGTTTTTTAATAGGACATGACTGACTCACATGAGCTTAGGCAGAAATAGACTACTCAACGTTGCACATTTATATAAGTAGAGGAGCTCACCCTATTGACTGTAATCCACTTACCAAGGATAATTCCCTCACTGATGGAAAAATAGTCACTTAAGTACAAGAGTGGCATGTATCAGTGCAAGAGTAGTATGCCAGTCTTAAAGGGACAGCACAGGGCCAACTGTATTGAATTACACATCAGCTAAAAGAAGAGTCACTATACTTTTCTTTTCGGTGGTCTATTTCTTGAATCACAGGCTCTTCACTGCTCCCGGGTGCTGCAGGTATTTAAACCATTTGAATGGGTCGAATACCTGTTTCCACATTGTGGTTCCTCCTGCCGGCTCTACATACGGAAGTGATGTACAAGTCAGCAGAAAAAATAGCCTGTGGCAGAGAAGCAGATATTTTACACACTGAAAGTGTGGAGCACAGACAGTGACCAGGGAACAGCAAAGCGGCAACATTTTAACAAACAGACAGCTAAAAAGGTAAGTATAGAGTCTCTTTTTTTTGTTAGAATGTAATTCTATACAGGTGAACCCGTGAGTTAGTATTGAATCCCACTGAAGTCTATGGGGCAAATCTTCATAGCAAATTCTGGCCATTCTCCTTGCCACTAGGCAAACTATTGTCAAAAAATGTGGAGTAATACAGCAGAGGAACCCAATCGGACTGATAAAAAGCGGTTTTAGGTAGTTTTGGCTGCGATACAGAGGTTGTAGAACACAATGGTGCTGTCGGCAGCACATATGTTAAAAAAAAGCTCACACTGCAGAGCACGGTGAACCAGCCCTGGAGATAGTAGTGGCCTGTACGGGTGGGGCAGCACCACCATATGCTGCCTCCAGTCTCCAGCAAGCTGCCCCTGCCCTGCATGGACAAAATCCTCCCTTGCTGTTGTTTTGCCTCTTCCTCAGAATTTTCCTTTTCTCCAGTTGGTGACACCCACGGACTCTCTGCTACCTCATCATACATCCCCTCATCATCATTCATCGATGGAGCCCACTTGTTAGTAAAGCTGCCTGACAGTTTTATAAAGGGTATTGTCTAAATTTAATAGCAGCTATTACAACAGGGGAAATAAATATGTGGTGCTTCGGTGCATACTACTTTACTACACAAGTATGTGGTAACATGCTGCAAACAATGTACAGCTTTGCCTGTGTCAGCAACAAGTGTACTCTGCAGACCCCAAAATAAAAAGGGCTCTAGCAAAGGAAAATAAAATGAATATACCTCCCCAAATAACAATAAACCCTAAAAATACCATATGTATTTGTGTGTGCTAAATTAAAGAAAATAAAAAAAAAAAAAAACAACAACAAAATAAGACTGAAAGTACGGGGATGAAGCAGCTAAACATTAACTACAGTTGTTGCTGGCACACACAAAAAGGTCTCTGAACTGTAAACACAGGGGGGGTACACAAGAATACATACCTACCACATTGCACCAAGGTTTTTTAAACAATATAGCACAGTATAGCAACTAACTACACAGACTGCCCCCATTATTGGCCCTTCTAAGCCAACTTACTTAAGTTCAAAGGAAATGCAGCGCATTATGGTTACAAAAAATTCTGTCTGGCAAAAGATATTTCCTTTATTATTTATTATGGTCAGGACTAAAAATAATGAAAATTATAATTTATTTTTTTAGTAAGGCAAATATTCATATTGGAATATAATGTAGTCAGGATTTACTCATCCGTTACTGCACATTGAGAGAGATGATGCCTAAAAGGAGCTATTTTTGTTGTGCTAATTTTAAGCTAACTTAGATACATATATATTACAAAACAGATATAATAAGATATTGATTTAAAACCATTACAGTTTCTCTTAAAATAAATTTGTCATTAGTAAATGGCGCTGTTCCTGAAACAAGCAGAAACATTTCAGCATAACTTAATCCCACACTCTTGAAATAAAAAAACACAATTAATTTAATAAGAAAACCAAAACCATTGGTACAATATATGTACATAAATATATAAATACATATATATGCATATGTCGGCTTTTAATGTGAATGCTTCTTTTAATGCATAGTATATAATTATGTATGTGCATGGAAATATCCTGTTTACTTATCACATATACAGACCCCCATTTGTGTCCCCCCATGTTTTACACAGTGATTGTGCTTTATTATTATTCTCTCTCAGTGCGAGTCTGTGAAGACTACTGAACAAAATGCTGTCTCTAGACAGGTAATACTGTAATTGGTTTTATCTTAGCAGATGCTCAGTACTGATACTGCAATTGATTGATACTATATGCAATAATGTAGGGAAAAATCTGTCAGGGTTATTCACTAAAGGGTGAAGGATTTGGAGAAGGTGAGAGAAATGAACAATCTAGGATAGGACAACATTTGGAAAAATTCTCCAATTCATCTCACTTTCCAGTTAAGCTATGTTGTTCTTGATTGTTTACTTCTCCTGCCTTCTCCAAACTCTTCACCCTTTTGTGAATAACCCTGTGTATATGTATAATTTTCCTGAGAAGGAGTAAGCAAGCAAAAATATAAGAGGCACATAACAATAACCTTCAGGTAAATGTTATTAGCAATTACTCAAAATGTGTACCCACAGGAAATACACAATAGTTCTCTTGAAATGCATATTTCCTATTTTTTTTTTAATATAATGTAGACTATACAAGGAGTTAAATTGAAAGTAAATTTAAAAAAAAAAAAGTTATACATCTGCCATAATTATAGTTTTTAAAAATAGTGCTGCATACTGACTAGTAGATACACAGTATATATGAAGTAAATAGGACTTTTGTGAAAAAAATACACATCTTATTACTACACAGAAGAGTCTGGATGGAAACTAAGACTGCTTATGTTGTGTCCTCTGCAATTCAGCCATTTAGCCAGACCACAAAAAAGATGGCAAGATCTCACATACAGGTCAATTCAGCATCAAATAAGCTAAAACCTTATTTTATGAAAAAATACTTGCTTAACCATCAGCACAACTGGGATGATTTACTAAAGGAATACTGTTCACTTTGCAAAGTGAATCTTTGCTAAGTTCAGTAAATAAAGTGAATGAGTGTCCACATAGGGGTTGGACCTAGCAGAATGAATAGTCACTTTGCAAAGTGAATCGTCACTAAGTTCAGTGAATGTGTGTCCACATAGGGGTTGGACCTAGCAGAATGAATAGTCAATTTGCAAAGTCAATGTTAGTGAAAGGTGTGTTTACTTTGAATAGCCAATCAGGTGCTGGAATAACTGTGTTTTTTCCCCCCTTGAGCATGTTTGGGTATTAAAAGAGGACATTGAGCTTCATTGTATTCACTAGCATTTACTTTGCAAAAGAAAGATTGTGTGAAACAGCCTCACATCTGTTAGCAAATCAACACCAATGAATATCAAATCATGTGCAAGAAAAATTTAAAAACAGGATTTTTTTAGTTCATGTGATTGGATTACTGAAGCAAAGACAGCTGTTCCTTATTTACTAGGTGAACATACACTTTCCAAGATGATCATACACTTTACTTAGGGGTCTATTCACGAAGCTGCCGAAGGATCTGGCCAGTTACTTTACTCTATTCCTTTAGTAAATTTAACCCAGTGCAGGTTTCCAACAATCATGTACTACTTCTCAATCCCATATATAAAGCTTATGAATATATCCTTAGAAGGATAAGCTTTATCTATACATCCATCCTCTAGGATCCAAGGTTGAAACATACCCATGTAAATTATACTGCTTTTTAAATTAGGAGCTATTGCTCTTTACATGTGTATGTTTCAACCTGGTGACCAGGGGACGCTGAACTGTCATGAGAGCTTGTCGGAGCCGGCGGTGATATCAAAGCCGGCTCTGCTAAGCTCTCATCATAATGACAGAACAGCGTCCCCTGGTTACTAGGTAACTAGGTTACTAGGTAACCAGGGATGCTGATCTGTCATTACGATGAGAGCTTAGCGGAGCCGGCTTTGATATCACCGTCGGCTCTGACAAGCTCTCATTTTAATGACAGCTGGTCCCGGCCAATAGAAAACAGTTGGGCGGAGTCAGCTGTCACTGCTAGCTCCGCCCAATCGTTTTCTATTTTTTTTCTACTTTTTTAACTGTTTATCTATTCTGCTCGGTACCACAGAGGTACCAAGCAGAATAGCCGAGCCGAATGCCACTCGGCGGCATTCGGCTATTCACTCACTGCTGTTCGGCCTCTATGAGAGTAGGCTGAACAGCAGCGAGTGGCCTGTCGAAGGTTCGGCTCAGTCGATCCAGATTTTGGATCGGTTGAGTCGAACTCCTTCCACACTTCGGGTCGGCTGAACATGCTGAGCATGTTTGCCCGACCCGAACCCAGCCGCAGCAAGCCAATGTACGGCTGATTTCATTCGGTGTACGGCTGAAACCAGCTGTACAAGCCTGAAGTTAATAGCCAAACAGCTTCACTTCACTTCGGGTCGGTTATTCACACAGCTGCCTTTGGCAGCTGTGTGAATAACCCTCTAAGTATCTAATATATTAAAATACTTACAGGCCTAAGAATGCCAGATGTTAGCAATCATAAATCTACATCAGAAATGTCTTCACAGAACATAAACATGCACACTCAGAAAAGTGTGTGCAATCATGTATACAAAAGTGGCACTGGGACTTTCAAAGATAACAACTCACCTGTACACAGGGACAAACATTTTGTATGGTCCAAAT